AACTAACAAGAATTTTTTTTCAATTATTAATAGGATTAAAAAGGTATATGTTTCAATATGTGTAATATTTTATTTAAATTTGTTTTAATATATTTTTGAAGTCCGTGGATATTTAAATTCTTCAATATTGTAAAATCCTTAATTTAAAGCAAACATGATTTTATTTTTTAACATTTCTAGCAGTCCTAAAACAGCTGATAAAATGTCTAAAATTTTTAAAGAATTTTCTTGGAGTACACCATAAATAACATTCATATCATCTGACCTCCTTTTGGGAGGTCATAACTCATATTTGACGCAAGGTATTTTTCATAAGTATCAGTCCAAAAATGTGATATGTGGACAAAAGATATCTTTCCGCTTTATGTAGAGTCTAAAACAAAAGACAGTGGCTTTGGCTGAAAGAACGATTACTCACAGTTATTAATTGGCTTCTCCAATTATTGTAAAAGGCAGAGCAATTTAGATATTTCAACTTCTCTCCCGGGTAAGTAAGAAAGCTTTCAAAGACGTCTAAGTATATAATTGAGTGCGCAGTTAGTCTATATATTTGTCTTATTTGTCAAATACAATTTAAAATATTGCTTCTAAACAATGGCTATGTTTTGAAGGATTATTTTATTTTAAGAGTGTTTAAACTATGCGATTATGTGAAATAGTACGGTATCACTCATTTATTCTCAAAACTGAACTGAACAATTTGAAATCTGTATATATANAGGAGTTACCTAGCCCTTCTATTCCCTCTTTAGCCCTCAGTCATACTACGCACTTATTACTATAAGATATTTTGCATTCGCTGTTGTATTAGGAATTTGATGATGGAAAATAAAAATATGAATTCCTAACCCTCATATCATAACTTAGCTTGAAGCTTTCGACTAACGTGCATTCCATTCTCATTGGCTGTAGGCCCAGCTGGTTCGGAAAAAATTCTGGTTTCTTAACCGCATTTAGTGAAAACAGTCAAAAAATGATTTTTCTCACAAATAACAGCTTGAATACCATATTTTTATGGACATTTAACTACTTTGATTGAATATGATAAAACAACAATTAAAGAGATTTTTATTTAACCATTTTTTCTAGAAATTACTAACAGTGCATAATGGTCAAAATGACCCCTAAAGAGACTTAATAGTATTACACGCCCTTTCCTCTTCTCCACCCCTTTCTTATATATATATATATATATATATATATATGAATAGCTAAAAAATAATCCCTGTTGTGAGAAGCAAGACTAATCCTTTAGACACCTCCAGCACATGACTACAGAAACAGAACAAGAAGACGGTATGAGTCGGAAGCAGAATACGTATTGATCAGCCATTGCTGGGATTTGAACCTGGGAAACCGCTTTGGCAGGCAAGTGCCACTACTAACTCTGCGACTATGAGAAAACAATCCGCATCTATGTACTACATGTTTAACTTTATAATACATACATTAAAATTATAATTATTTTCCTGCAAGCCACCAACTTGAAAATTCTAAACAAAACATTCTAAAATTTACGTTTCGATAGTTTTCTTTTACCTTAAATGTTTACGACTGTTTTCATAATTTTTGATTGATTGCATGATAGAATCAGCATTTCGAGAAATAATGTTTTGAGTTATCATAAAAATGTCTGTGATTTGTAACATAAAAATTGTTTGTATTGGTTATTTTGTAATACCCGCGTAAACATTAAAAATCAAGACCAAGATATAATTTGTTATTTTATTTTTGTACGTCATTTGTAATGGAAAAAATATGAAGCTATTTAGTTCAATTACTTTGGAGTCCTGGGACCGAAAAGATTATTGCTTATTCTGCTCACAAGAATTCCTTTTTTATTTGTTTTCTTTCTTTCCTTCCTTATTTTGCTTTCAAAGATGATTTTCAGTAAAAACGTGTTGTTAGATATCCTTATCATCTGCCAACTTTACAAATAAGATAAAATCAATAAGAAATAAATTTGAATCCATAAAAACAGTGCACAATTAATTTTATTGATAGATTGAAACTGACGATAATTTTATTTCAGAATTAAAGTTTCTAGCATTTTTTCTAATCCTGAAAAATCATATTAATTATTCATAATCGTTTTGTTCTTTCAAGCTATTGAAAATGCGAGAATATTGAATTGAATGAAGGAATTAGTCAAAAAATAAACTAGCTGTATTTTTGTTATATTAGTTTATATATTAATTAGAAACAGTTACAATAATCTTACTATAAGTTATAATCCTATACATATACTTTTGTTTAAATTTGCTGTTTTTTGTGTTATTAACAATTGTAAAAATCAGTTTGATTTGTTTTGAGCTTTTTGTACCTTCCATTAATTAAAATTCTTACATGGAATTATTAAATAAAAGTAATTAAGGAATCTATTAGCAAATTGACTGTATATATGTATATTTTATGTGTATTATTGAGATAGTTATATTGATCAACTAATAAATTATCCAATTTTTTAATTTACGTTGAAGCAGTTGAAACAAATATGTAAGTCAATAAATTAAATAATTTGAAAGTTGCAAGCGTTTTTACATATAAAAATGCCCCTTTTAACAAGTTTTAGTACACTTTTTACTTTTCTATTTAGAAACTATCAAAGCATGGAGGTGCAATTTAGGGGATTAAAATTTTATACTGAATTTAATAAGATAAAATTCGAGTTAATAGGACTAATAGTTTTGAAATTAAAATAGCATTCTTCATAAGAAGTGCCAATCAAATATGGTGCATTTACTATAAAAAAAATCCATTTAAATTTTTAAAATATAAGTAATTTGGTATCACGTTTGATCTCCTTTAATTAGACTGGAAAAAATACTAAAGAAGCTGTAAAGTATTTGTAACAAAATAAGTTGCATAAACAATTGCAAGTATGTAAACGTGTTTTATATAAAAATCATGTAACTTTTACATCATTAGTCCGATTACGCACGAATTATGTCATTCAATTTTTAACCCATAAAATGCATCAGAAAATACATACGCATCTAAGGAAGTAACATTTATTTATAAATACTATAGGAAATATTTGTTTTTTTGCATCACGTATAGTCTCATTCAAATCGGCTGGCAAAAATATATCGAAAAAAACGCCTCACTAACATTAATTAAAAAATTCAATTTATTCTTAAAAATCACGCCATTTTTCCCAAATTATTGGAAAGTGAACAAAAGAGATTAGATTAATTAGGTTTCATTTATACATAAAAACTCAATAAAGTTTCCTATAAAAAAATCTTTGGTACTGAATTTCCGAAGATAAAATCATATTTTTATGGAATAATAAACAGTTTTACAAAATTTATAAAATTTCAAACTAAGAAAAAAATTTATTTGCATTATAATCTCATCTTATTTAAGCAAGTCAAATCATGTACAGTGATGTGAAATAATGTCATGTGCATTACATGAAGAATATCAATAATAAAACAATAATTTTGGTTTTTTTAATTTTTTATTTTATTATTTTTTTTTCAACTTTTAGTATTATTCAAGAAAAAAGCTGTAACTTATCAAACAGACAAGTATAGAGAATTTTTTTTTTTTACAAAAATTGTCGTTATAAAAAGTCTATCCCTTTAGGGGCTCATATCACACAATAGTCATAAGTTTTTCAAAACATTAAAATTTTTTTTCACATTTTTAAACAGAGTCCATCCTTTTAGGGGCTCAAAAAAAGAGTCCACCTTTTGTAAGGCCTCATATCACACAATCGTCATCAGTCTTTCAAAATCTTTGAACAATTTAACCAACTTATTAAATAGAGTCCAACCTCTTAGGGGCTCAAAAACAGAGTCCACTCTTTTCGGGGCTCTTATCACACAATAGTCACGAATCTTTTAAATCCTTAGGATTTTCAGAAAATATCGGGAAAGCTTGCAGGTTCAGAAGTAGAGTCTACATTTTTAATGGCTTTTATCATACATTCGTCATCAGTCTTTCAAAGTCTTTAGACAGTTTTCTAACTTTTTAAGAGTCCAGCCATATAGGGGCTCAAAAAGAGAGTCCACCCTTATAGGGCTTATCACACAATCGTCATCATTCTGTCTAAACAGTTTCTTAACTTCTTAAACAGAGTTCACCTCCTCAGAGGCTCATGTCACACACAATTTTTACGTCACATTCCTCATATGCCGTCAGAATATTTCTCAAAGGCATTGATGTTCAAGGTGTGGGTAATTTAATTCTGAAGGTCATTTGGATCATTTTTGATCTCAGAGCCACCAGTATGATTATGATCACCCAAACATGTATTAGGAACATCAAACGCATCAAGATTTTCTGGCTGTAAAAAGACAATAGAATGTNTATGTAAATACACATAAATTTTTTAAATATTAGTCATTTCGATTCGCGTTTGGTCTCCTTTAATTAGACTAGAAAAAATACTAAAAAAACTCTAAAGTATTTGTAACAAAATAAGTTGCATAAACAATTGCATGAAAGTAAACGTGTTTTATATAAAAATCATATAACTTTTACATCATTAGTTCGATTACGCACGAATTATGTCATTCCATTTAGACACATAAAATGAATCAGAAAATACATACGCATCTAAAGAAGTAACATTTATATATAAATATTATTTGAAATATTTGTTTTATTACATCACGTATTCGGCTGGCAGAAACATATCGAAAAAAAACCCCTCGCTAACATCAATTGAAAAATTCAATTTATTCTTAAAAATCCTGCTATTTCCCTCAAATTTTTAGAAAGGGAACAGAAAATAGTAGATTCATTAGGTTTCACTTATACACTAAAACACAATAAAGTTTTCCATAAAAAAAACCTTGGGTATTAAATTTCCGAAGATAAAATCATATTTTTATGGAATAATAAGCAGTTTTAAGAAATTTATAAAGTTTCAAACTAAGAAAAGAATCTGTTTACATTATGATCTCATCTTATTTAATCAAGTCAAGTCGTGTACAGTGATGTGAAGTAATGTCATGTGCATGACATGATGAATAAAAATAATAAAACAATAATTTTTTTTTTATTTATTTTTTTTTTGTAATTTTTAGTATCACTTAACAAAAAAGATGTAACTTATCAAACATACAAGCAAATTTTTTTTTACAAAAATTGTCGTTTTAAAAGTCCATCCTTTCAGGGGCTTATATCACGCAATTGTCACAAGTCTTTTAAATTATTTAAACAATTTTCCACCTTTTTAAACAGAGTCCACCCTCTTAGGGGCTCAAAAGAGGAGTCCACCTTTTCAGGGGCTCAAAAACAGAGTCCACCTTTTATAAGGCCTTATATCACATAATTGTTTATACAATCTACCAACTTCTTAAATAGAGTCCAACCTCTTAGGGGCTCAGAAAAAAGAGTGTACCCTCTAAAGGGCTCAAAAACAGAGTCCACTTATTTTGGGTATCATATCACACAATAGTCACGATTCTTTTAAATCCTTAGGATTTTCTGAAAATATTGGAAAAGCTTGTAGGATCAAAAGTAGAGTCCACCTATTTAATGGCTTTTATCATACATTCGTCCTCAGTCTTTCAAAATCTTTAAGCTGTTTTCTAACTTTTTAAGCAGAGTCCAGCCATATAGGGGCTCGAAAAGAGAGTCCGCCCTTATAGGGGCTCATATCACACAGTCGTCATCATTCTGTCAAAATCTTTAATCAGTTTTTCAACTTCTTAAACAGAGTCCACCTCCTCAGAGGCTCATGTGACACACAATTTTTACGTCACATTCTTCATACGTCGTCTGAATATTTTTCGACTGCATTGATGTTCAAGGTAAGGGCAATTTAATTCTGACGCTCATTTGGATCATTTTTGATCTCAGAGCCATCAGTATCATTTGAATCACCCAAACATGTATTAGGAACATCGAACGCATCAAGATTTTCTGGCTGTAAAAAGACAATAGAAAGTAAATAATATGGTATTAAGCATATAAGGAAAATTTTGCTTTAATTAAAAGGCTAATATTCAAGGAGAAAAAAATAAAAATAAAAAAGCAATAAACCAATTAAATTTTGAGCAACTGCTTAGTCTAATACGTACATTGCAAGAATTGTGGTGTAAACCTATCCAAATTTGGCGTTGAAATGCACTTTACTCTCTTAGTGTCGTTATTGAAAGCCGCGCAAGTTTAAATAAAGGTAAACTGAGAGATTTTTACTTGAACTATAAGGAGTATATTCGGAATTAGAATACTTTAGTAGCGCACAGAGAATGAGTTTACTTAATTAGAAAGTACATTTCTGAAGATAAGAATTTTTAAAATTTTTGATGTTTAAAAGATTCCAAATATTTCTCTTTATTTAACAGGAATTTTGAGAAATTAAAAGGCAAAAAGTAATTTTAAAAATAAGTTCTTAATAATGGTACTCATAGCTTTTTGTTTATAGGCTGCATGAAGAGCAATTTCATTTTTAAAGTTTCAATTATTCAATTTACTATTCATTTAAAAGTGCATAAAATATTTTAATTAAAAAAATTAGTTTCGCTTTGCTCATAATTTTTATCAATCTTCTATTTGCCAATTTTACATTGCGCATTTTACAATAAGCTCTAATTTTCACAATAATAATAATCTCTCTCTTGCTGTTTTAGAATTATTTGGAAATTTGATTAAGATCTGTTGCACATTAATTCGGTAAATTTATCTTTCCTGGGTAACGTGGATATATAAAAGTGGAGCAAAAAATCCATTTGTTAAGATTTATGAAATAGAACAAAAAACTGAAATTAATTTTGAAATAAAATAAACATGCACGAATAAGCCTTACTAAATTACCTGTGCCAGATTGAGATCCAGAAATTCCGAACCAATTCGTCCTACGAATGGTTTAATCACATCATAGTTGTCTAAAACAACATCTTTGAAATAGGATTTGTGATTGAAGGGTTTTCCCTTCTTTTTCACAACTCCATCATCCACCAAATAGTCATACTTTTTGACGCCAGATCTTTTGACGTTGACTCTAAAAGGGAAATTAAAAAAGACATAAAGTGAACTCATTCCATCTATTTATCCCAATAACTATGTGATTTCACATTTTATAATTTTAAATAAATAGTATGCACTAAGTACATAAAAATCATTTGAAAAATGACCTGGGAGCTGTGTTTTAAGAAAAATTGAAACAACTTAAGATTTTCAAAGAAATTTCGCGCGCATTATTTTAAAAATTTAATTACAAGCTTTCCTAACTACGGTGTCAAACATTCTTCTTCAATAGTGCAAAATAGCTTCGTCAATAAAATGAATTTTTGACTGCTCTCCTCCCTGACAGCAACCCTAATTTCCCCATATTGATGCAATCCCCAAATACACTGCTAGAAATTTCTGTGAAAAAATGGTAAATAACAATTTATTGAATGATTAATTCACCATATTTAATCAAAACAGTCAAATAACCATAAATTAAATGGTAATCAAACTTTAAAGTTTGAGAAAAACTGTTTATTGACTGCTTCCACCTAAGACGGTTAAACAACCAGAATTTTATCGCATCAACTAGAACCACCTTATGAATCTACTTTGTTCTTTTCAACTGCGTGCTTATCATAGCCGCTTATCTGTCAATCGAATTACCGGCAGAACTGGTGTTCGAGTCCTAGTGTTGCTACCACACTATTTCCTTCAACACATAAAGAATTTCCAGTGTTCGGCGCTCTCCAATGTCCATTACCTAACGAAAAGCCGATCTCCCATGTCTAGTTAAATAATTATTCTTTTTTACGTTTTTGAAAAATGCTAGTAGTAAATTTTTAAGTAACCGTATAGTTTTGTATTTATGGTTTTATAATCATACTTTTCGTAAATCGTTTCAAAATCATAAAGGAAAAAAATGTTCTTTACCGTAATCTTTACGGTTAATCGGAGGGACAGACAGCTGCCATTTATTTTACCATAATTTTAGAATGAAAATTTTAACAGTGTTGGTTGAGGATCTAAAATGGAAACTAATCTAACAATGATATGCTTATTCAGAGAAAAAATGCTTTTTTTACTTCATTTCATAATTTAAATTATGAGCTTTAATATTTGTATTTCAAAGACTAACATTGAGATTAAAAGTTATTTACTGCTTTATTTTGTTCAACTTTTATATAAATACTTCCGAGATGATAAGAGAATGATATTTTGGTATAGAAATATTGCCTTTTTAAGTTAAGAATTTAAAAAAAGTCTCGAGTTATTTCTTGATCTGAAGAGAATTACAATAGTTGATTTCAAATTTATTAAAATAGTATACCAAAAAAAATTTCAATCATTTATTTTTTATCACCCATATTAGAAATGCTTTTTATTAAATGTTTTACAGTTTTTAAAGATCTTATGTAAAACTTTTTCACTGCTGAAATGATTTTTCCTTTTCTCTTATTGTATACACCAGTGCAAAATCATTTCTTCTGTGGTGTATTTTAAAAAAATAAAAAGTAAATTAAGGAAGAAGTGAAAGTAAAAAAGTAAATTAAATGCTCTATGCACTAATTATTGGCATCATATCCACTGCCCTATACAATGATATTACCACTAAATCAAATGTTTCATATTCAGAGTACTGGCACT